AGTTAACAAAACCATTTTATTACTTATTTAGCTTGTTATCCGAGTTAACAAAACCATTTTATTACTTATTTAGCTTGTTATCCGAGTTAACAAAACCATTTTATTACTTATTTAGCTTGTTATCCGAGTTAACAAAACCATTTTATTACTTATTTAGCTTGTTATCCAAGTTAACAAAACCATTTTATTACTTATTTAGCTTGTTATCCGAGTTAACAAAACCATTTTATTACTTATTTAGCTTGTTATCCAAGTTAACAAAAACATTTTATTACTTATTTAGCTTGTTATCCAAGTTAACAAAAACATTTTATTACTTATTTAGCTTGTTATCCAAGTTAACAAAAACATTTTATTACTTATTTAGCTTGTTATCCAAGTTAACAAAACCATTTTATTACTTATTTAGCTTGTTATCCAAGTTAACAAAAACATTTTATTACTTATTTAGCTTGTTATCCGAGTTAACAAAAACATTTTATTACTTATTTAGCTTGTTATCCAAGTTAACAAAAACATTTTATTACTTATTTAGCTTGTTATCCAAGTTAACAAAAACATTTTATTACTTATTTAGCTTGTTATCCAAGTTAACAAAAACATTTTATTACTTATTTAGCTTGTTATCCAAGTTAACAAAAACATTTTATTACTTATTTAGCTTGTTATCCAAGTTAACAAAAACATTTTATTACTTATTTAGCTTGTTATCCAAGTTAACAAAAACATTTTATTACTTATTTAGCTTGTTATCCAAGTTAACAAAAACATTTTATTACTTATTTAGCTTGTTATCCAAGTTAACAAAAACATTTTATTACTTATTTAGCTTGTTATCCAAGTTAACAAAAACATTTTATTACTTATTTAGCTTGTTATCCAAGTTAACAAAAACATTTTATTACTTATTTAGCTTGTTATCCAAGTTAACAAAAACATTTTATTACTTATTTAGCTTGTTATCCAAGTTAACAAAAACATTTTATTACTTATTTAGCTTGTTATCCAAGTTAACAAAAACATTTTATTACTTATTTAGCTTGTTATCCAAGTTAACAAAAACATTTTATTACTTATTTAGCTTGTTATCCAAGTTAACAAAAACATTTTATTACTTATTTAGCTTGTTATCCAAGTTAACAAAAACATTTTATTACTTATTTAGCTTGTTATCCAAGTTAACAAAAACATTTTATTACTTATTTAGCTTGTTATCCAAGTTAACAAAAACATTTTATTACTTATTTAGCTTGTTATCCAAGTTAACAAAAACATTTTATTACTTATTTAGCTTGTTATCCAAGTTAACAAAAACATTTTATTACTTATTTAGCTTGTTATCCAAGTTAACAAAAACATTTTATTACTTATTTAGCTTGTTATCCAAGTTAACAAAAACATTTTATTACTTATTTAGCTTGTTATCCAAGTTAACAAAAACATTTTATTACTTATTTAGCTTGTTATCCAAGTTAACAAAAACATTTTATTACTTATTTAGCTTGTTATCCAAGTTAACAAAAACATTTTATTACTTATTTAGCTTGTTATCCAAGTTAACAAAAACATTTTATTACTTATTTTGCTTGTTATCCAAGTTAACAAAAACATTTTATTACTTATTTAGCTTGTTATCCAAGTTAACAAAAACATTTTATTACTTATTTAGCTTTTTATCCAAGTTAACAAAAACATTTTATTACTTATTTAGCTTGTTATCCAAGTTAACAAAAACATTTTATTACTTATTTAGCTTGTTATCCAAGTTAACAAAAACATTTTATTACTTATTTAGCTTGTTATCCAAGTTAACAAAAACATTTTATTACTTATTTAGCTTGTTATCCAAGTTAACAAAAACATTTTATTACTTATTTAGCTTGTTATCCAAGTTAACAAAAACATTTTATTACTTATTTAGCTTGTTATCCAAGTTAACAAAAACATTTTATTACTTATTTAGCTTGTTATCCAAGTTAACAAAAACATTTTATTACTTATTTAGCTTGTTATCCAAGTTAACAAAAACATTTTATTACTTATTTAGCTTGTTATCCAAGTTAAAAATTGTGTACATTTAAATTTTATAATGCAGATTCTATTAAAAGTTCGTTAAAGACTAAATAAATTTGTTTGGGGTAGCATAAATATGATTATTGTCAGTAAAGCTGACAACTATAGTATAGTTTCTAGCTGCTATTATCTTCCCACACAGTAGCCAGGTGTTGCTCTATCGTAACAATGGGCATCTGGGACATCACTTGGGTAGGGAGGGGGGCATCCGTCCCTTAATTTTAAGGTTTATTTAAATTTCTGTGTACTGTGGCGCCTCCAGTAATAAACAACTTAACAAGCCGACCAAGTTTTGGTTTTGCCCCCCTCTCCCTTCCCTTGAAAAAAACCTGAAATGACGCCCCTGATGGGCATAGTCTTTATTGGCTGATTTATCATTTTCATCTTGCAGATCTGATATACCAGACAAGTCAACAACATCCTTACCTAACTATTCAGCACTTAAAATCGAAGCATTGTCTGTGTAAGCAATAGTTGCCATAAGCTCTCTCTGTCTTGAGTTGGAATAGTTGTTATTGAACACCGATCAGTTGACCTTTTTTTTAAATAGTGAACACCATTTACGATGATGTGTTAACCATTCTAGGGAGCGGATTAAGGGGGAAATGACAGGCGAATACATGACAACTTTTGACTTCTCTTGCACTAACCAAGTGTGCAAACATTATGACCTGGCATCTGCAGTGCACAGACACATATTATATAACCCTTATATTGTTAAAAGTCTAAACATATATGACTATTTACACTCATTAAATTGTTTAAAATAATGTAGGAACCCGTCCATTTTTAAGATTAAAATTTTAATAGAGAAAACAGAAATGCTGACGTCAACTAATCTAAACTCCCCTCCCTCCAAACATTTCCAAACCCCCCCCCCCTATTTTGTTGACGTAATTTTAATGGACGCCCCCTTAATAATATTAAATGAATTGTCAAGTCAATTTAAGTTATTAAATAATAATAAAGCTAAAAATCAGCACATTAAGGAAGTTCTGAAATGTTGACAAAAAGTATAAATCAATTGATTGAATTTACATGAGGTTAAGTTTTAACAAATTAATATTTTCAACAATTAAAAAGATGTGACCAATTATGGTTGAACTGTTTTGTGTTGGCTTTGTATATTAACATATTTCAACATTATAATTACACCCATCAGTGTTCATTATTTGTGTGCTAGTTTATTTAATTGTAATTTCTTCAGAATTACTTATCAAGAGTTTCTAAAACACAGTGACCTATACATTTAGCACAGGGACCCATAAATTTAGCACAGGGACCTATGCATTTAGCACAGGGACCTATGCATTTAGCACAGGGACCTATGCATTTAGGACAGGGACCTATGCATTTAGCACAGGGACCCATACATTTAGATTTTTTGGTATTCTCGGGAGTTGCCATTAAATATGATGTTTTGCCAGTGTTCATTGGCGTCAAAATATTCTGTAAAACTGTTCTCAGCTATTATATAATATAGACGATTACGAAGTTTGGAAGGTCACAAATTTTACTTGAAGTATTACAAGAAATGGCTGACTTTGTAACCCATTGCAAATCTTAGACACCTTATAATGACACTAATTACATACATTTATAAGTTACAGCAAATAATAATAAATCATGAAGTCCAAAGACAATGATTACAAAATATTAATAGAATGCATTTTTGGAATTTAATTTAATTAAATTTTGCTATTGTACTCAGTTTAAAAAAAACACAAAAAAAGTTTAAATGTACTGGAAAACTAAAGCTAGCAATATGTCAAACAAATTAAAGAAAAAAAATCACTCACCCCATCCCCCAGAAAAATTTATTTCATAACAATCATCATCTAGTGGCTGTATATATTGCACCATTCTACTTGGCCTTTTCTGGAAAGTCAGTAGCAGTTTGTCAATGGTACCATACGGTACAGATCCATAAGTCCTTACAAAGATACTCCATGTGGGCTTTGTGGTCTCAAATGCCAAAATGTGATCCTGGAATTCAACATCATGTAGCTGGATGAACTGATGGAGTCGTGTTTCATCTAGGGAAAAGATGCATAATTACTTAAAAATTAAATTTAGGTCTACTTTAATTTAACTTTAGGTCTCAAATGTAAATAATAAAAACAGTTAAAATCTTCCTTAGTCCTTAGCAATAAAGAAAATGGTAACTGTTGTGTATTTAGTAAATTATAAGCATGCTAATAAATACTGAGACTTTAAAAATATAAATATCAATACGAATCTAAAAATATATTTCTATGATAATTTAGCTGATTCTCTTTTTAAAGTAGTCACCCTTAAACCCTCAAACAGAAAATCTCACATTATTAGCTCTTAGTGTGACTAATAGAGCCTAAAAATAACACGCAAAACAGAAATGAAACAAACCAAGTTCATTCAAAAACACGGCCACTGCTCGTGGCTCTCTGTATGGGTCAAACCAAACATTCTGTAATTTGTCATCAGGAAATATCTTCTTAAGGAATTCTACCAGCTGAATCGCTGTTGTTTCACAAGGAAATCCAGTGACTTGTAGCAATTTACCCATGAGTTGGATGAGTTAAATACAATCAGACCTATAACAGCAGTAAAAAAAATTACAATAGACACCAATCCACATCAGTTGTGTGCATTTGATGCAAAACTTTAGAGTATGAGAGAATAAATAGTTAAGAAAGAAAAAAAAAGAGAATATGTGATGAAAAAGAGATAAACAGCAAGAGAGAGAACAAATGTCAACCAAGATGGCGGCCATGTGGCGACATCTCTCCAAATTGACCGATATGTTGAATTTGAACTTCTGCTAATAAATTGTGTGAGTACGAGGGGTAACAGTAACGGTAATATTTGATGTATGATAATATTTACATTGATGTCAGGAATACAAGGTTGTCTGATGATTTAGTTTAATATGGTATGATCAGGAGATATGCCATATGTTACAGTGATCATTAAAAAGGTTATGTGAATACTTCAAATTTCTGCTCTCTTTTAGCAAGTAGGCCTAATACTTGCTAAAAGAGAGCAGAAATTAACGCATCCATCAAAATACATAATTCTCTAATTTAAAATGTTACTAACGCGGCCAGATGGCGCTGATTTCACTAAATCAAATTTCGGAACACTGTGCTAAATGAGATTCGTAAAAATGCAGCAAGTGCGTTTGGTGTAAATATTTTATTTTGCTTTACGGAAATTGTGTAATAAATCTGCAGTGTAAAAGGGGGTGGAATATTAGAATATTAATATAGTTCAGGGGCAGTGGCGAGCTGGGAGAGTGTAGCACTAATTGGGAATCTTATAAATTGTGTTTCTTGAATGCATATTTTGACAAGTAAGTTAAGTAGAATGGAAGTTCGAGCACTGCGGCCGTCATTGTTTTGCGGACTACAGTTAGTAATTAATATAGTTAAGCATAAAGTTAGTCAGGTCCATTAATTGCAAGAGAACTATGAGAACAACTGCTCTCAAATTATATTGTTTTGTTTTGTTAAAAGCTTTCCCTTACTTTGTGTGTTATGTTCCATTATTTACATCAAGTCAAAAAAGTTGTAAACAGATATTAATCATATGAGATTATGAGCACCTGAAATCTGGTTAGGTTTGGTCTTGTTTTATGCATGCAGTGTGTGGTGATTTGACTTTTAATACATATGTGTGGAGTATCTCTCGTATGAGATCTCCTCTTGGCTCTCTGTCTAGGGGTACGTTATTTGAGCCAAATCACCACACAGACATAACACCTATCTATATACATATAGTATAGACTGAAACGAAGTCTTAAGTAAAGGATAAATAACTATGAGTATTTATTGAATAATTATATTTACAAAATCCTCCTTTATACACTCCAGGTACTTAACATATAAACATCAAACGGATTTCATCCCAATTAGAAAGGTATATTAATGCAAAGCAAGTGTCCCTAACATACAAGCGGTATCATCATAAAAATGCTAAATTTGCTCAAGTTCTACGCTCAATCTTGGTGGACTTATCCTTTATTGTCCTAGTGATGATCTCGGTGGATCACACAGTGAGGGAGTTCCTTCAGTTCTAGAAGCATGTCCCTGTTCCGGCCTTCGGAGCTGTTCTAGGCGTAGCGAAGTCGGAGTTCACGGTCGTAGATTCCGTGGAATGTCTGCGATGGGGAAAATGACTCTCCCGCGATGAATCGTGGTGGTGAGAGTCCCTGGAACTCGAAGTCCTTTTGGTAGCTGTCAGGCAGTTTGGTATAGGATGTAGATCAATCCCCTAGCGCCAGCTCAAGGTAAGTCGGTCCAGTAATGGAAACCAGGTTGCTAAGTCCTAGTTGCAGTTATGTATCACGCTAGAGAAGTTCTAAGTCCAGATCCTTCCGGCGTTCACCGTCAAGTGATCAGATCATAAAAGACAGATTGTTGCGTGTTCAGACTATTTATTCGAGTTGGGTGGCGCTTAGGTGATGGTTCAATTGGGTGATTTAAATGTTGTATGTTTTTCCGTCCAATGACAATCACTTTCGATGTTGCGGGTTTGACCTCCTACCCTCAAGGTTTTTCGGGGTGAAGGGAAAATCAAAATTCACGCTTTCGTGTGAGCAATCTGGTTAAGAAATGCAATAACAACGAAGGGGCGCTACTCCGCTTTGTTGTCTCCAGGGCAGAAATGAGGGGGGTGACGGTATTAATATCTCAAGGTTCAGAGTCCAGGAGGAGTGAACACAAATTTCACGCTTTTTGGGATGAGCAGCCTTGAGTAGAAATGTCATAACACAAAGGGAAACCACTCGGGTTAGTCTACTGCGGGGCAAAACATAAGGAGGGAATGGTGTTATATTACAGGGTATTCAAAGGTGTAGTTGAGGGAAAAGAAATTTTATAAAGTCTGACTTTTAAATTTTCTTCTGTGGCGTTGATTGCGAAAAAAATCTGCGTGGGGTTGTCCCAAGAATTCCAGCCAGGATCATATGACTAACCAGGCACAAATTCAGGGGCGTCAGCATTAAGGGGGCTGGTTGCAGGGTTTTCATTGACTGACACGGGATGTCGGCTTAAAAAATCAGGGGCGAAATTGGTTTTTCCTGGTGCGTATTCAATTTCAAAAGAATACGGTTGAAGCTACAAGGACCATCTCGTTAGCCTAGCGTTTAAAGTTTTCGCAGAGGCCAGAAAGGATGAAGGTCGGTGGTCGGTTTGCAGAGTGAAGTGTTTTCCGTATAAGTATGGTTGAAACTTCTCCACAGCCCAAACTAAAGCTAGGCATTCCAATTCTACTGTAGCGTAATTGGCCTCAGATTTAGACAACTTTCTGCTGGCGTACGCTATGGGGAATAAAGTTGGCGGGTCTTGGTTGTCTGGCTGCAGTAATATGGCGCCCATTCCTGTATAACTTGCATCCGTTCGCAGGATAAAAGGTTTAGATAAATCTGGCAACTGTAATATTGGTTGAGCTGTAAGCAGTTCTTTCAGGGTATGAAAGGCAGCATCGCATTCGGGATTCCAGATAACCTTTTCGGGCTGATCCTTTCTAGTTAGGCCTGACAAGGGTCCTGTAATCAGGTTAAATCCCGGGATGAATTTTTGGTAATATCCTCACATCCCTAGGAACGAACAAACGTTTGTCTTCGTCTGGGGTCTGGGGGCCTCACGAAGTCGGTTGGTTTTTTCCTCATCTGGCATGAGCGAGTTTTCTTTGATCATGTGCCCGAGGAATTTCAACTGAAAATCCTATCAGGCATTTTGATGGCTTCGCGGTTAAGCCGGTTTCCCTTAACCGCTTTAATAATGCATTGAGGACTTCCATGTGTTCCGGCCAGGTTTCAGTTGCTATCAAAATGTCATCTTTGAAGTTGAATAACCCTCGTCGACTTATGGGCTTTAGTAGTTTGCGCATCATGCGGGTGAAAACGCTGGATGCGTTGTGGAGCCCAAATGGAACGGTTAAGAATTCGTAATGCCCTTGGGGGGTACTGAAGGCTAGTAGGCGTCTACAATTGGGTTCCACTTCTATCTGATAATACCCCTTACTGAGGTCAAGCTTACTGAAGTATCGCGCTTTACTCAGATTGGCGAAAATTGTGGATGGATCAGGTAGGGGCTCGGCTTGGAATTCGGCCGCTGCGTTAAGTCGGTGAAAGTCAATGCACATGCGATGCGACCCATCTGGTTTTCTTACCAGTACGATGGGAGCGTTGTAAGGTGATACAGAGGGGGGCGATCACGCCCATTCTTAGTAATTCAGCGATTTCCTTTTCCACGATTTCCGCTTTCGCGTGCGGAATTGGATAGGGTTTCACGTAGACTGGTTTTTCATCATTGAGCTTCATGCTAAAACGCTCTAGGTTTGTCCTTCCGGGTTTGTCTGTCATGACATCCGAAAATTTTCTTAGTAACTCAATAGTCTCCTCCCTTTGCTCAGGGTCTAATTCGGGGCAAACTTTTGTGTCATTAATTGTTTCTTTTGACCCAAGTGGGCATTCTGTGATGCTCCGTGGTTCCACCACATCCTCTGAGATGGCCACGGCTATGATTGAGTGGAATGAGCCTGGAGGTATTTTTTAAGGAGATTGATGTGGTACATTTTCTCCTTCCCTTTTATCTGGATCCCATAGTTGGTGTCGGATAATTTTCCTGTCACCATAAATGGTCCCTGCCAACAGATTTGCAGTTTGTTTGTTTGACTGGGGAGTAATAATAAGACTCTTTCTCCAACTTCCAGTGATCTTGGTTTCGTCCGTCGGTTATAATATTTCTCCTGACGTCTGCGAGCTTTCCTTAAGTTGTCAGTGGCGAGGGTTCGTACCGTTTCCAGCCGTTCACGGAGATCCTGGACATATTTGGACACCGTCTTGACTTCCTCCTCTACCTTGTCCTTGGTCCAGTTCTGACGGAGCACTTCTAAGGGACCTCTTGGCTGATTACCATAAATTATCTGATAAGGAGAGTACCCCATGCTGGCCTGTGGCACCTCCCAATAAGCAAAAAGGGCGGCTGGCAAATAAGTGTCCCACTCCTCAGGTTTCCCGACCGTGAGGCGTCTGAGCATCGATACGAGAGTTGAGTTAAACCTCTCTACGAGGCCATTTGCTTGCAGGTGATACACTGAGGACTTGAGGTGCTGGGCGTTAAAAACTTGGTACACTGCCGACATGAGCTTCCCGGTAAATTGGGAGCCATTGTCGGTAAGGATGATCTCCGGGAATCCAATTCGGGAAAAGATGTTGAACAAGGCTTCTGCTACACGCTTGGCGTCTATACTCGGAAGAGCGGCGGCTTCGGGCCATCGGGACGCTTGGCACATTACACATAATATGTAAGCGTTTCTCTTCCGGGTACGAGGTAAGGGTCCCAAAATATCCACTGATACCCTCTTAAAAGGGGTTTCTATCAAGGGGGTTTTTCCAAGGGGGACTGGAGGTACATTTTTCCTGGGGGACCTCTTCTGACAATCCGGGCAGGAGGAGACATATCGTTTTATATCCTCTGTCATTCCTGGCCAAAAGTAGTAATAACTTATGCGGTTAATGGATGCACCGTGACCCTGATGTCCACTTAAGGTTGCGTCATGCCCCAACTGCATTACCTCCTGCCTAAAA